TTCACACAAAATTACGCGAAAAATACTCAAATTTTCGAAACATTGTAGGTGATCTTATTTCAAAACCTATCTTTAAGGAAGAGATTGCATTAAGGAAAAAATCTCAATCTTTTATTAAATATCTTATATTAATTGTAGGAAGACTCCGAAAAAAAAAATGTGAACTTTTGTAATTTTCAACAACACTATCCCGCTGCAAATGTGCGAGTGAACTCGCACTATTCAATAACAAAGTTTAATAAAAAAAATGTTGGAGCCATTTTCAAAAATATGTTCCAGGGGCTTCATGTAAAGTACCCCTGATAATTAAAATTTCGCCTTCAAATTCAAATGACAGCGACACCTGCCGGATCGGCAAGGGAATGTCAATTTTGAAGAAAATCAGCCGAACGGTTATTCACAGGCAGACGTTTTGCCGTCAACCGAATTTGCGGAATCAAGGACCCACAAATCTTGAATTCTGGTTACACCAAGTAGCATAGTAGCAATAGTAGTAAGTGGCATGAAGTGAATGAAAGATTTCTACCTTGATTTGTTAGAAACATCCATTTATGTAATGGACAATGCAGCTGTTCATTCTGTGCTGGTGAGTGGTATTTTTCAATAATGGTTCTTTTAAGAATATGAAAAACACTTATTTATGAAATTCATTTCATCCTTTTAAAAAAATAATTGATTGTAAAACAGATATTGCTACTATACAATTCAGTCACAAAAGTAGTTGTTTCAACATTATTTACATCACTATAAAGAGTGAAGTACAATATGTATTAAATTCAATGGTGCTCAATGATCTTATAGTAAAATCAGTAATAAAATTTTAATTAGAACATAAAGTTTGCTAATACAATGTATAAAAGCTTCAGAGACTGTTGTGCTGAAAAAAGTTTCTCACTGAAATAAGGATATGTTTTATTGAATTACATCATAGAATAACATAATTTTATTTATTTCTAATTTTTTTTATATGATGTTTGTCAATATTCTTACTATTTGATAAGTTGATGTGGGGAAGATGAAATATTAGAAGAAGTTGGACATTGAGATCTGTCTCACCCCTCCCCCTTATTGTCACTAACATACTATTGAGTTTGTGAAGAGACAGTCCAAAATGTATTATCAGTGTCACTGTAGTGAGAAAGAAAGTGAATAAATATAGAAGTATTTCCTAGAGATATTTTGCAGAAATGTCACTAATATAACATACTCATTTATTCTGAAAACTGCTATATTTGAGATTATTATATGGCACATAACGTGAAGAATATAGAAGAGTGTAGAGTAGAAATAAGAAAGGAGCCTTCAGGATTCGCAGAAATAATAAATATTCTGGATGACTGTTACGATGACAAAGTTCCCCCCGGTGATCCCATTCCAGGTCTCTCTGATGTTTCTAATTAATAGGAATATGGCTGCCCATAAAATTGGGTTGAAAAATATTTGACTTCTTCTCTATTTTTATACTTCTCAGGTGCAGAGTTACAAGTCAGAAACTTATATTATTCCAACAAGCGCAAATGAGTGGTTATATTCCAGGTGAAATAGTGAATACCATATATTATTATTGAGCTAATCTTGGCTTATTGAAATGTATTTTTACTACTATTATTATCATTATTCTTATTTGTACTTATGCAAATTTCTCAAGTGCTATATACTATGTGAATTGGTAGAAAAGCTTTAATAACTGTTACATCAGAATTTTATTTTCAATAAACATGTATGAAATGAGATTTATGTATGTACATCTTTGTACTTAAGATCTTTAACAACATCAACTTATCTTTTTCAAAATCCAGATAAAAACTACCAAATGGCTTTCAAATAGTGACTTCATGGTTCATTTAATGGGTTGAGAAATGAATGTTATGTGCAGCATTAGAATGAGAGAAAACTGCTAAAACACAAATTTGACTTTTTTGGTTGAAGGGTGAGGATTGTGGTACCAGTTAATGTTTGGCAAATATTTTTATCTTTATCTAATTATCCATGTGTCTGTATCTGTATCTGTATCTGTGTGTGTGTGTCAATGTTCTCCCAATATCTCTCTGAAAATAAATATTGTGAACAGATTTTAGAAAGCATATGCTTCTGTAATGGTTTGTTGATGGAAATTATAGTAAATCATGTATAGTAAGTAGTAGTCATCACTGGATTTTATATAATTTAATTTTTCTCTTAATTAATGTCTTCTAAAATTAATTTCATAAATTGATTAATTTATTTATTTTTGCTACAAACATGCAGGGTTGTTTTTTACTATTTTTTGCAAGATAAGAAGTCTTTGCCTTTTGTCTTTTCTTGCAATTACTGAATCCTTCCTCTTGTGTTAAGGAATATTTTAATTATTTATTATGTGAATTCCCACAAATTACAGTATTGTGAGATATACGTTTCAAAAGAAATATATTCTGACAACATACACCATATAAATAAAAAATTAACTTCAGGTAATAGGAAAATGTTCTTCCTTTGAATAAAAAAAAAATTAATAATGCAGATTTAACTAAAAGTTTTATCTTTTGAGGAGTATCTTCTTGCTTATGAAATAATCTTAATAGAATGAGAGAAAAAAGTTATTTGATAACACTATTAGATCAGGTTTGATAACCAATCAAAAGTTGTTATATAAGATGTTAAAATAGAAATATTATTAATTTTTAAAATTTGCAACGTTTAATTTTCATTTCAATATCGATAATTTTACTCATCCTGGCAAACTTTTGCAGACTGGGCTTTCAGCTATTAAATAGGCCATGAACTTTTACATCATATATTCTCAAAGTACTTAGATAATAATTTGAATTTCATAAAGTTTGACTTGAAATAATCAAAGTGGATAAAATGTATTAAACTTTGAAGGTGCTTGGTGCAACAGTTGTATCATTCACAGAAATCACAACACGAACAATGATAATTTTATTTTCATTTATATATTTGCTTTTATGATATCTTTCAACTTATGTTCAAAATAACTTTTATTTTTAAATAATAAAGTTATTGAAGGTATGAAACCTTTCAATTTTCATTTCTTAAGTCTAAAATGTTCATAGTGAAAGTGGAAAAGCATTTATCTTACATAAATTAGAAATTATTATTTAACATCCTATAATATCCTCTTAATAACAAGTACATACAAGTATGTCTCTTGCCCATATCACTTTTTAACCAATGGTGTATCTAATATCTAAATTTTAAGAACCAACTGTAGGTTTTTAAATTTCAGAAATCACTTGGAAGTTATTTATCTTTCGATTAACTATGTGTATTTTGCCAATTAGTACTCAGAGAATCTTTACTAATTTGAATTGTGAATAAACATCCATTATTCTAATTGGGAAACATTATACAACACATATTAATTTGAAAGTTCTGAAACCGCGATATCAAGTGTTACCAACAAAATTTCGATAGTTTTCACAACGCCTATGTGGGTTTTGGCATTCGTCATCATGCTTTGTTATATTGGGGTGGATGCTTAAAGTTACATATCATTGATACTTTTTTCAACATCGCAGAAAATATTACTTTTATTCTATCACATACTAAAACATGAAGATATTAACAAATAAATATTTTGAAACCTATAATTAAATTAAATTATTATGTAATTGTTTCAATGAATGGAAATAGTTTTTCATCAATGATATATTCATTGAAATTGTTAGATTATGAAGAAAATATTCAAGTAAGTAGTATAGTCTAGAATACAATGAAATTTGCCCAATAGTCTCTTGCCCATATGTCATCCACATCGCTGGCTGCATGGCTTGTTGTCAGAAATTGTCTTTCCTTCGCATCCTTTCTCAAAAAGTGTCTTTAGTCTTGTTAGGTGCAATCAGTATTACCAACTAATTGTAACTTTAATTACAATACATTTTTGAATATAACACAAATAAAATTAAAACGGATGGTTTTTACTGTTTTGTAACATATTTTACTTTCTGTACATAGAGGGCAGGATGTTATCACAACATAGCATAATTATTTAGGTGGAGGGTTCAAGCAGGCATTACAGGGGTTACAGGGGGAAGGAGGGTATTTAAAATACTCCAAATTTGCATTACATAATTTATGGACGATCCCCTTACACTTTCTTTCTGCAATTTTCTTTCCAGTAAATCTTCACAATCAATTACAGAAGTAATTGAGTGTCCACAAAAATATTTTTTGAAGTAAAAAATGCGGACATAGAATTTATGAATGATCCATACATTTTTGGAGACTGAAAACCTGAAATCCTTTCAATGAAGCAAAGTATTTCTCAGTACACTCTATAATTCTGAACACTGATTCCAATGGATGTACTAAAACATCTCTTGATACCTCATCCTAAATGAAGGATGAGAGAGAGGAGTTTTGTAATAGGAATGACCAGTCCTTGTTCTTTCAGAATGTAAATAACTTTACACATTGTGGGCACCTTGTTTCTTTTAATAGCTTCCTCACAACAAATCCAGCAATGTAATACACAATGTTGTTTTCATGGTCTTTTAAAACTGTGGACCAAACAGCATCAAACAAGTCTAAACAGTCATTATAAGATTATCATTGCTACATTCTACTAATAATCTCTTTGAAAATCAAAACTCTCTAACTGCGAACTGGTTGGTTGCTTTTAAGTCGATAACATTTGAATGGGTACCAGCTGTGACGCTGTTCTTTAATAAAAGCTTTTAGTGCTCCTTTAAATTGTTGGATGTTTGGATTAATGTTCCTTTACCGTCCACCTTTACCCCAAAGGCATGAAAACAGTAATTCTTGATCTTGGATAGTTTATATGTCAGAAAATACTTTAAGTCGATCACAAGTCTGAATAAAAATTCAATAACTAACAATTTCATACTCTGCATGCAGCCCTACAACAACTCGCATCAGGCCCAGTGTGTATTGTTGGGTTTCAATAGCACTGGAATGCCATCAATGGTGATGGATATTAGACAGCTGTACATTTCATCAAAAAAGCTTTGGCAGTAGCTAATATTTTCTCGTTTAAAGGGCTATTTGTGTCTGTCAGTCTCATTTGCAAATGCTTCATTTTCTTCCTCAAGATGGCTTTGGTCAGTAACTGAGGAACAGTGTCTGTTTGTGTCTGCTGGCACTTTTGTTTGCTACGAGATTTGCAATGAGAATCAACTTCTATATCAGAATCGACTTCTTTATCATACATTGTTTGTGTCTGCTGGCACTTTTGTTTGCTACTAGATTTGCATTGAGAATCAACTTCTTTGTCATACATACAAACTCATCGTTTATGTGGTCAAACAATTCAATAATTGTCATCATCAATGTTGAAGCTAAATTCTTACTTACATACATTTTTTCATTGGGATGTAGAAAGAGGAGGAGGAGAAGCAGAAAAAAACAACTAAATAAAACTTGTTCTCAGATTACTTACAATGACATTAGAAGGTTCCAATCTAGAAGGTCGCCCCACAGATGTTTCTTTTGGAAGACAAACAGGAAAATCAAATACAGAAGGAACTGCATCTTCCTTCAATAACTTCACTTTCACTCCTGGTCTTACCTACAAATGTAAAAAATTATAAGCATGTATACAGCTAAAGAAAATTGACTTTTCATATTGTTAGATACAAGGTCCTGTACTTATAACTAACCTGATAGCAATCCTCAAGAAAATGTTTGCTGCAGAGTGTGCTACTTATGGATGGTTTCCATTTCTCTCTTTGGACAGCATGAATCCATTTCTCCAAAATTTCTGGTCGAGAAAAGGGAAATCTGCGTAAAGCAGAAATACAATACATATTTATAAAGTATTTATAGCTGAAGAGTTGATATACAGCATTGCACGAAGGCGTAATTTAAAATTAATTAGGAAACAGAAATCTCTTACTTGTGAAACTGAATCCCACTTCCTGTCTCCTGGAGTTGTTTGCAACCGTACGCAACACAATACTTTACCATTGTGCTTCTTATTAGAAGGAGAATTAACCAAAATAAAACCACCTTTCCACGCCGTACACAAGTACAAATTGACGCATTGGAGTACGTTCCAGGTCCGCCAACTCAAGAGAATCAGGCGACACGAGCATTACGCTCCTGAAGGATTTTCAACATTACAGTTGTGGAGAATATTATACTCTTTGTTATAGTTCCAGTTTATATAGTTGAAATATGTACTCTTTGGTTGAGATCATTGTGTTCGTACTTTACACGATGCTGAATTGTCATTTCTGTTTATTGTTTCCGTGTTGGGGAGCGTTGGGGTTGGGGAGGAGTTAGCCGAGTTAGCGTGGCGTGTACACTGTGTGTTCGGAGTGTGCCGCACTCCCTGAATTTTGGAGAGACTTTAATATTAATTAATATTTTATTATTAATGATTACATGTTATTCACTAAAATCAGTAATGGCACTTACTGTTTATTCGAAAATCATATTTTGGTTATAATGAAGCCAGTGTTGTTTTAACTAACCTCAATTACATTGATTGTGAACTCCAGTTGTCAATTTAAAATTGCTTTTGAGAACGCTGCTGGTATGTTCACTAAACAGCTTGTGTCACATCAAGAAACTGATTTTGCACCTCGTAATTATTTTTAATAATGATTTATCGTCTGTCAATCTATTTAGTCAATGATTTTCAATGAAAGAAATGACTGTTCCTCCACAAAATTGAAAATGCATTTTAAATTTAGGCATATTTCCTAGTTTTACTCCTTGACTTGTAATTTAAGACTTAGAGTTGTATATTTAGGAGTTGTCAGTTTGACAGGTCAGTACTTTCAAGATGTTGAGTGTAAGAGTTAATTCATTTAGTGAAAACAATTTGGGAGAACCAGAACAGGATGCAAACTCTGCCTTGACTGAATTGGACAAGGGTACACACATTTATGATACTTTTTCTATCCTACATGAATTATTGAAATATATTAATCAATGTTTACTTTTCAGGACTCCGATCTGGACGTGTTGGAGAGCAATGTGAAGCCATTGTTAGATTTCCACGTCTTTTTGAAAAATATCCATTTCCAATTCTCATCAATTCATCCCTCCTAAAACTTGCTGATGTCTTTAGAGTTGGGTAATGACAAGATTTCCCATTTTTTCATTACACAGATCAGTTTAAAAAGTCCTGAAGTGTGTATCATTGTTTTCTTCTGTTATCATTTTACATGTTGCAGGAACAACTTTTTGCGAGTTTGGGTCTTGCGAGTATGCCAGCAGAGTGAAAAGCATTTAGACAAAATTTTAAATGTTGACGAATTTGTGAGAAGAATATTTAGCGTCATTCATTCCAATGACCCTGTAGGTTTTCATGTTATTCCTTTATTTACCTTATGGAAGCTATCATATCTTTAGGTACAAAATTGAGCTCGGGAAATGATAAATGATGATGTTGATGGCCCTTGATTATCATTTCTCAGCCTCCTATTTTGTATTTGAAAGTGTGATTAACAGAATCACAAAATTTATTATTACGACATGCATGTACTTCCAAATAAATAAAAGTAATTTCCTTTGAAAAGGAAAACAAAGTGAAAAGTGCAGAAATTGTTAATAAATTAATAATACTTCTTACATATCTTGCAGATTTTTTAAACTTTGTTATTAATTTTAAGAATTTTAACTTCATAAACACCTAAATTAAAAGTAATAAATCATGAAAGACAATATAATGGTAATTTTTTAATAAACTTTTTTGTCCCCTTTTGTGGTGTAGAGTGTATCGTTGGTGTTCTCGCAGCATATTTAAAGGCCTTTATGTTAAATAAACACTATTTTTGCAGGTTGCTCGGGCATTGACACTTCGTACACTGGGGAGTGTTGCTGGCATAATTCCTGAACGTCAGCAGGTACATCACAGTATAAGACGTAGTCTTGATTCTCATGATACTGTGGAAGTAGAAGCAGCTATATATGCTGCACGTCAATTTGCAGCTCAGTCAAAGTACGTTTCTGGTGAATAATTGTTTTTGGATGAAGGATTATTCTACAAACTCTTCAAATTTTTGTTTTGTTTCTTTCAGACTGTTTGCTGTCAGTATGTGCAATAAAATTTCAGACATGATTCAAGGCCTTGCAACACCAGCCCACATGAAATTGCAATTAATTCCAATTTTACAATATATGCATCATGATTCATCAACGGCCGCATTGGTAAATTTTCTTTTTTATACAGTATTATTGAAACTTTATACTTTTTTGCAGATTTAATTTGTTTGTTACAGGTTCGTAAGCTCTGTACTGAACTGTTACCCAGTTATCCAGCTCAAGAATTTGTCTTAGTTACTTTAAATTCATTGACTCATCTTGCATCTGCAACATTAGTAGATATTCCTGATCAAGTATGTATTAAACTTTAATTGTATCTTTATGTTGTGAAAGCCAGTTGTTGAAGGGTGAAAAAGAAGAGATGGGATTTAGATTTAGAGGCTTAAGAAAGGTTTCATGCAGCATTTATTGAAATAGGAAAAACCTCTGTTGAAATCTCTTTGATAGGTGTCTCAGGGTTAGAATCCAAAACTTCAAGTACAAGTGCATATTTGTACAGTTAAATGTTGTAATTAAAGTTTGTTTAGAAGGTTTTTGCTACGCATTGTGTTTTTTAGTTAGAAGTGTATGGTAGAATTAAATAATTTTATTGTTTTTTTTCATGTGAATTTATGAATCATTTGAATGACTTTCATACATTTGTAAATTCTTCAACAGGTGTCTCTTTTGCTGAAATACCTGCGTACTGACCCTCGATGGGAAGTAAAGGGCCAAGTGTTAAAAAATCTACATCATTTGGCAGGACAAGGGGCTCACTTATGGCCTCAGGGTGCTGTAGAGGCAATTGTTGATGTGGCTATGAATACATCTTATCAAAAGATGTTGAATTGGTCTCTTGATGTTCTTTTGGTTTTGGTCAAATCAGCTTCTACATGCCATTCACAGTCTAGTGAAGGTTTGTGTTCATGATTTATTGTGACTTTTAATATATTGTGATATATAACTTATCTTATACTAAGAGTATGCTCTTATTTGGTTTTTAATTTAAAAGTTATGAAAAATTGAATTATACTTATAATTTGGTACATGCAACATAATGCTAAAGGGAAATGATGACAAGAATTTTTTTCTAATTTATTTCTTGGCGGTTTATTAACACATTCGATCCTGAGAGTAATGGTACTTGGTAAATTATGTATTGAACAGTGTAGCTATTATAGTCAACTGTGGTTATAATGAGCTTAAGTTACTGGTCCTGTTTCACTTACATTACAAATAAGCATAAGAAGATTCAGTTATACTGTACTCTTTAAGCTGGGCTACAGTGAACATACAAAATAATCCCTGGAAATTAATTCCCTCTTGAAAAAGTGTATATTGCTGTAGAGTCACAAATTCCATCACTACGTAACGTGAAAAAAATATCGTCAGCCAAAGGTCGTAATAAAGAAGTATATAAAGGTAGTACTTTGAAAAGGGGATCTTACTCTGAAAAGGGGATCTTACCGATGACCTATGCCATTCAGTTTCACTGCACAAAAAAGCATTCTGCATGGGCTACAACTGGCTGTGCAATTGCTTGCTTCAGTTTCATACTTGGTGTTACTTAATATTCTGAGGGACTAAGCACTTATGAGTTCTAGGTGACAGGAAACTTGTAACTGCCACAACCCCACAGCCTGTACATACGTGCCCTGCCGCCCTGCGCCATCCTGCTACCAAAAGAATCTCATGTGTTATTATGCAAGTAAAGGGGCCTTTGGAATGTGCACTGGTGTTCCAACAGTTCAAGAGACATTGGAAGGTGTCAAGACTACATTATGACACTTAGAGACAGTGGACAATGCAGAATCAAGTATGGAGAGAGCATGAACTCAAGAAAGGATCTAGAGAAATTGCTAATGGCAAGTGTATGAAGCAATTGCAAATAATGGAATTTTTGAAGGTTAAAGAAAGATATTGTAATTTTCAGTTTGTGCCGGCTCACCAATACCCCCTAGAATGCCCTACAAAGTCATTTCAACTCCGAGCCTTCAATGATTCTTATTCAAAAGAAATATTGCAAAATTAAACATCTACATTACTATAACATTATTAAGAATAATATTTTAGAGTAAAAGAGGAGTATTACATTAAATTTAATTATATTTGAAACATTTCTTGTCATTTTGTTTCTCGGAATGGAAGTTAACCAAACTTCTTGACCAGAATGCAAAAGTACATGGAACAAGTTATAGGTTAAAAAGTTATTGTTTATCTACGAATAATATTTTTGTAAAAATAAAAATATTATAGTAGTAAATAATATCTGTTTTACACATGATACAAAAATATATGTCCTTTGGAATGCACTTTCCATACTGTATTGCAATATGTGAAATTTATTTATATTTTTAATTTATTTGATCATATTTATTATAAACAATAGTAAATTTTACAAATTTATGTGGATTTCACACCAAGAGGAACTTGATATGTATTTCATGATGGAGTTCGGGATGTCATTTTATTAACTTTGTATGTTCCTGACTTAACTGTGCATACAATATAAAATGCCTACAGTCGGAAGATTCAAACTCTTATGACTTGCACAGAACTGGGTTTTCAAACCCATTTTGTAAAAGATTATCAACACATTGGATCAACTGGTTCGTATCCTGATGCGTGGTTCACAGCTATATTTTTGGGCTTTCCTCTCGTTTTTCACAATACTTCTCCAATATTTCCAATGTATGGAAAAACATTGGCACATGCCTTTTTAGTGATTATCCATCACAAGTCACAATTGTTTGCTTCATTCATTGCTTTTTTTTTGAAATTGTGAAAATACGTGGAATTTGGAAGGAAAATATTGACCTATCCACTTTGTTCTCCTGACATATAAAAAGGGTGAGTTTGTAAATGTGTCACTTACACTAAAGAATAATATAATTCTCATATAATCAGAGTAATTTTTTTACTCAATCTTTTTAGTTCGAAAATCAAAAAAGAAGACAGAAAAATGAGTATATCAGATTACATCACCATCTGGAATCTAAAATGCCCTTCTGTACACGAAAATTCTCTTCCAAACTTGAACCATAATTTTAATCTAAATGATTCAAAAAAATAACAGTGGTTTTCTTTTATCTGATAATAAATTGCTTTTCGAAATTTAATGATGTATTTGCAGTACCGTGACGAAACAACACTTGCTTCATTAATTTGTATATATTGAACAACTTGATCAGATGACAATGCAAACCAGCAGGAATGCTTGTATATTTCTTTACAAGGTATCTGAAATTCTGGGAGACACATTTAAAATTCTTCAGCATTGAAGTATATGAAACATAAGCTGTGATATAGGGACACTATCCAAGGAGTCGAATTGATGCCTTCCGGGCATTCTAGGTAAATTAGTTTATTTTTTGCAAAATATATTTATTATAAAATTCACTTTTTAACGTACTTCAAAATGAGGAAAAGTCACAAAATTCTTTCTTCAAAAACAACGAAAGTTAGAGTCAGAAAGAGCGCCGGAAGTCTCTGATGAGTTCTCCAGGCATTCTAGTGCTAATTAAATAGATTTTCTTTTTAATGATTTATTAATATTGATATAATTGATTTAATGTTGACATCATCAGATATAGTGAACCAAACATGTTAGTCCCCCAGACGTTCACTATAACCGGAGTCAACTGTATTCATAACATTGTCAAAGAAAACTATCATACACGTCAATTTAAAAGTGATGACGTATTGTCTTTCCCCTAAGTCTGTATGTATTTTATTGTCATTTGATTATGAAAATTAGTTGTGAGATTTAAATTCAACAAACCCAAGTTTTCAATTTTATTATTTTTGCGAAAATAACAATACTAGTGCACTATCATTTTATTGTTTTGAAGTTCAGAAATAGTTCCATTTGCATATTTATTTATTTCTGCCTTTATTTTTATATGTACAAAGTTTGTCCTAAAAGTAATGCGTCCCTTTTTTTTTAACACAACTATTAGTCACAGAGCAATTAGGCTGGTTAGGATAGGGTAAGGGAAGGTTTAGCTTTCTACCGGTTCTTAGCTCAGTTGTCTCAGAGAACCTAGAATTTGTACCAATTTGTGAGCTACTGTGCAGTACTCGTTTCATACTTGCGATGAAGAAATCTTGGAATCAAAGATATGCGACCTAGTTTTCTATGAAGCTGAAAAATACGCCGGTGGAAAATTTTAAGATCTTTTATTCAAAGTTTTAGGACACTTATCAATAGGGATGAGACATGTATCTTTGAGTATAATCCCGGAAACAAACGGGCAGAGCAGGGAGTGGCGCACCTTGGTCCTTCTCCATGCCTCAAGAAAACTTGCATGAGCAAATCACACATGACAGTCATGCACATTGCTTTTTACTTTCCTGGATACATATGGATATATAAGGAGTAATATACGTAGAATAGGGAAAGTTATGCAATGCTGTGGAAAATCGATTTTGAGATTCCAATGAAAATACAAGTTTCGGGGTTCTCTGACACCGAAAAAGTTTTTTCTTTTCTTTTCTCTCTCTCTCTCTCTCTCTCTCTCTCTCTCTCTCTCTCTCTTTTTTTTTTTTTTTTTTCAAAACGTTTGTCTGCTGCCTTTGAACACTACAAGCGCCTAAACCATGCATAGGATCTTTTCCAGATTGAAGAAACGCTTGTCTGGCTGGAGTTGGGGACGTTATATGAAACCCCCTCGACATTTTCAAAATTTTCACAAAAATGGCTCCAAAGTTTGTCTTTATATTTCTTGTAAAAATAGAGTAATGTACACTTATAAACATAGCATTTGTCCGATTTTCACGGTTAACTCTAAATTTTCAAAAATTTCAAAAGTATGAATTTTTTTCAGTGTCTTCCTACAAATACAAAATTAAAGGTAGAGATTTTTCCAATTGTTGTATTTCAATATTTGGAATGGATAGTGCTAAATGTACTCATTCAGATTACAGAAACGCCATATTGCTCAATTCTTTTGTTTTTTCAAAAAGTAAAAAATGTAATTTTTTTTAGTTGTCTCTCATGTTGTTCATATTTATATTAGCAGCAATTTTTTAACAGTATTGTATTTATGAGTACATGTTTTTTAATGTCATAAAATAATTTTGCCAAAATTCTACCGTTTTCTCTGTAAACTAGTTCAAAACTTTGCATTTACAGAAAAGCTCAAGTGTCATTTTCTGAAGAATAGCTCACACAACAATTCAGCCGGATAGTGCAAATTGCACACTTTAGTATGACATAAAGGTTAATTTCGGTGGTTTTTTATTTTTTTTATTTATTTATTTATCTATTTATTTTTATTTTTTTTTTATAATTACACAAATGTAAAGTTTTTGAAAGATCTTTCATGCCCTTGATATGCACATTTCCAGCGATTTGTAAATGCTATTGTTTTTGTGAGTTAATGTATATAAAATGATTTCAAATGAAGTTTTCGAATACTCAAAAATTGTCATTGAAAAAGAGATCCAAATTTCAAATTTACAATAGCACTTAAATGCCATTTTTAAAAAATAACATGCCAAATTTTTCAAAGAAATTTGCCATTATGATGACGTTTTACTGGTATTTAATAATCCTAAAATAGTATTTCCGTTGTACAATTAGGTAACCGGAAAATTACAAAAATGTCAAAAAAGTGTACTTTGGGGATAGATGACAGCTGGCAAGAATATGACAAGTATGAGAAGCTAGCCAAGAGCAAAGTAAATAAAATACTAATACGGGAAAGTCTGTGTCATTCTGTGGCACCACTAGTTAACAATACAAAGAGGATAGTGAGTTCATAGCTCCTGGATGCATTGTCAATGTCCAGTTATACAAGCAAGAGCTCCAGAGACTGAATGACAGGATCACCCACATCCGAAAGGGGATCAGCGCTTTGTGGAGACATCACCACGATAAATCGCTGCATCAAACCATCTTCATTGTAGCAGACTATCTAACCTGCATCGGTGTGGCAATGCTTTCACAATCCTCTATTACCCTTTTGTCGCTTCGTCTCACTTCTTTTAGTTCCCTCGAGCTAAAAGGGTCATGAAAGAAATGCATTTCAAGACTGGGCAACATCGAAGCAAATACAATGAGGGTACTTCTTTGCTGAGGACTTGCTGGGACTGTATGAGAGATGGAAATTGTGCAGGTAACAATGTATCGAAGTACAAGGATCATGCTTTAAAGAATTTTAAGTTGCTCTACCTATCTGATTAATACATTTGTATTAAACAAATGTGAGGCATTACTTTTTGGTCATACCTTGTTAATTGTGGTCAAAAAATTATGAAAAGTATTCTAGCTCAGTTGAGCCTTTATTTTACAGGAACTTTTATTTCACTGGTTTTTTCAAACGTTGATAATTCAGATTTTTCATTATTTTAGCCCCATTGTGAAGGTAACGGAAACTTGAATTTGATGGGACTCACCAATAGAGTCATTGCCATAATTTTCTTTGCTAAAATAGTCAAAAGTCCAGGAAAAAATCGTAGTTTTCATCAGAAGATTTTAGTTTCAATTCACAAATCAAAATCTCCTGAATTTCTAATGTTGAGAATTGCTGTGAATTTGACATCTATATATGTCTTCTAAACATCTGTTTATGACACTGACAACCCGAACACTACTTGCGAAGAAAGACATTTTGAACATAATTGACAATTCCCGCAAGTACAAATATCAAATCACTTCCAGGAAAAATTGAAAATACTTGCACAAGTAGAAGCTCGCATTGACAATTGTCCTGCAACCAAGTTTCTTAATAACATTAAGAAGAATCTGGGGCCTACAAACATCTGAGATATGTTTACACCCTGTCAAAAAAGATAAATGTAGAAGAAAGTATGACATATGTCCATAGAACATAGGAATGTAATGAAAATGACATATCAGACATGTTCTTAGGATTGAAAGTGTTAATACATTTGAAGTAACTATCACCTTATTAGAGATAGTTACACTCGGAAATATGTTCTGCAATCTTAAAAAAAAAAATCCAAGTTGTGGTCATGTTAAAGAGTAACAAATGTATTTGAATAATTATATTTGTTCAAAGAATTGTTTGCATTAACTGGGATTTGAATCCGGGCCTTCTGGTTTATGTTCAGATGCTGCAACCACAAGGTTACTGGGACAACAAATCCTTTGAACAGTTTTCATGTGCAATATATCACTCATTATATTTATAATTGTCACCTTACTGGACATTGGAAATATGTTCCGCAGTTGTAAAGTAATCCAAGTTGTGTCTATGTTACTGAGTAATAAATGTATTTTAAGCATTTGGGTGTAAACAAGAAGGCCCAATTTCGAATCGTGGTCAGGGTGACCAATTCTTTGAACAAATTTAATTTCTAAGATTTGAAGAAAGTTTGTTATCTGTGGTATTAATGTTAAAGGAAGCAGAATAATGTTGAATATGTGTGGAATGTTGAAAATTTGTTACAGATTCTCCAGTCATGCAGCTTTGTAGCGAAAGCTGTTATTCCAGTAACCCTGTTATTGCATCTAAAGCAGTGAAAGTGATGACCAGTATAGTACGTTATAGGTATGGATTTCTTTACATTCCTAAGGTTGTGTCTTTTTTCCTGAAATCATTCAGCAATTTACTATTTACCTTTCCATGCACCAAATTTACATTTTGCACTTTTACAGTGTTGTAGAACCCCTTAATATTTCATGTAAATTGTTGGATAAAAAAATCATTAATTACATGTTTTTGTAGTTTCTCTTTAGTACGTACATAAATAAAATTGGAGTGTGTTTGTGACTTTAGAATAATTTTATGTGCTTATTTAGATGATGTAAAAAATAGATTCAATTAATATTAATTTCCATAATAATACGTTTTATTCATTTTCACATAAGTTAACAAATACAGCAAATGTGCAAATGTATCTAAATGAGCAAATGCTTGTTCTCTGGTGCTGTTTAAGTAATATTATAATTTTTACAGTAACAAAATTAGGGATACTTATGCTAATAATTATATAAGAATACAATGGTAATCATTGTGTTATATTATTTCCCCTCATTGTTGCAAAATGCATTCAGATCATAGTCTGATTCACGTTTCAGATTCACCAAGGGACTGCCCATAAATTACGTAACGCAAATTTAGAATATTTTGAATACACCCTCTCTCCCTGTAATGCACCTGTAATGCTTGCGACAAGATCCCTTCCCCCTATTACAATAAGAAAAAATCAATTATAAAGGAGAAATGAGTTGTATTAGCTGTATTTGTAAAATTATCATTATTAAAATGAGTATTAGTTGGTGGTGTGGACTGCACATGACAATAAGGTTGGGGACAATTCTTGACTGAAAGAAGGCTGCGTATTTGAGAAAATTTCTGGCAAGCCTTGCACACACTGTTGTGGATAATGCAGAGGCTCCGAGTCTACTGTGCCAACTTAACTGGATTCTAGAATATATTGTAGATCAGTTTTGAATTTTCTTCGTAATATAAAATATTCATTCATTGAAAAATATTTCCATTTATTACACCAATTTATACTACATAACTTCTTTAATTTATTATATTTTTAATTTAATTTTTTAATATGATAATGTTTTAGTATAAGACATTCTAGGTAACACTATAAATAACATATATGTAACATCAAATAAAATGGTAAATTTCATATGAATTGATGGAATATTTGAATTCCAATCAAACTTTTTTGATTGGTCAGGTCATTTATTAATGATAGTAGTTGTGAAATATTGATGTTTTTATTCATGCAATTAAAAAGAAATTTTCTAATATTCCAAATCATTTAATTTTTGTATATTTGCAATAATTTTACCACCAGCAATGTATTTTTGATAATCATGTACTTAGATAAGTTTTTAATTTTAAGTTTGAAATTTATATTGTGTTAATATCATATACTCACAGAAGGTGGACATAGTGTTGTTTTAAATGTGCTGGTTATTAATGTAATTTTGATTCATGCATATGATATTCTAGTTTCAAGGAAGGACTTCCAGTGCATGGCCTAGAACAAGTGGTAGATACTGTAGAATCACTGTTTCTGTTAGTTACCTGCAGAACAGATCATTCTTTTAAGAAGGAGTTAAAAGTTTGTCTTCAGTGTGCTGTGAGCCTTTGTGAAATGAATCAAGATCTATGCCCCAACTTTGTGCAACTCATTGGTTTACAGCTTATGGCTACAAATGGTGAGTCTGATATTAAGAATCTGTCTTCAAAAATGATTTGTTAAGATATGATGTGCAAGTTCGGATGGGTTTGGCAAAGTTCTTGAGTGTGATTATCAAAAACCTTAAAAGTTGTATTATGTATAATGCCTTCATGATATCCAATCAATGATATAATTTTCTGAAATTTAATGCTGTTATAATGAGAGATTATAGAATCTGATTTATAGCCTGCATGAACTAAGATGAAATATTTTCATTTGCATTTCAGGGCCGTGTAGTGTTCTCCTTTGTGAAGCCTTAGGTGCTATTGGTGGACTTCAAGCTGGAACATTATTGATTTTACTTCCGGAAATATTAAAAAAACTGAAAGAACTGTGTGAAGTTCAGTCGCCAAGCCCAGAACAGACTCATACTAAGGTAATGTTATTATTTCTTAAAGGTAATGCAGAACAGGCTGTTAGGCCTAGATCGTGATGATGATGATGATGATGAGGAGGAGGAGGAGGTAATGCTCTTAATTAATGATCTGAGTGTGGGGGGTTTATGTGAATTGTTGTAGGTCATGCTGTGCACACTTGTATTTCAAACAATGTGTGAATATGAATGGACACCTGAAATCAAACACTTTCTGGAATTGGTGATTGAAAAAACCAATTTATGGGCTAACTACAGAATAGCTCGCTCTGCAGCTCGGTATGTTTGGATACATCCATATATGTAATTTAGAGCATGTTATTCAGAAAAATATTCTTTATTTTATTTTTCTTCATTTCTTTGGTTCTTTAGTTCTTTTTTCAGGAGTTGAATCAGTAGAGTTTGTATTTGCAATATGTATATTGAAGCAAGGCAGAATACTTAAAGGGTTTTTGGCATTTGTAAACGAAACTTTAATGTCAAATAACTTGTGAAATATAAGGAATTGCGTGATGACACAAATGAAACTGAGACATTGAGAATATGAGGCATCGGAAAATCCAAATGTTAATTGGATTAAGTAAATTTTAGAAAATTTAAGACTTTTTTAAAAAAAATAAAGCAGATGAATATTGTAGATATTGTTGGCAGGAGACAAAAGACGTTTGCGGTGTATAGTACCGTGTAACAGGAGTGAATCGATGAAGAAAGATAACAATGAGACAATTGAACTGGTTAGGCCAGATAGAAGGTGTAAACGAACAATGTTAGTCAGAACTATGCTGGATTTGGTACAAGCAGCATCGTTGTCCATCGGGGCATAAATTGAAATATTTTTTGTAAATAGTCTGTGGAGATAGAAAATGGACATATGGTCCATGTATAATAAGAGAATAGGGAAGTAATTTAGATGCAATTTTTGGAGGAAAGACTGTAATACTTGTGAGATAATTACAATTAGATTCAAATAATTGAATGAGAGTAGGAATTTGAAAGTGAAAATTCAGTGTGGACATAAGAAGAGCTCCTGATAGAAATATGGAACAGTCGCTGACATCATTGACAGTTGCCAAAATTGCTGTAAATTCTTTAAAAGGGATGTTTAGGCAATAAGTGACAGAAAGACATTAATGAAAATATTATGGAAAGGCCAAGTTATGTTTAGGCATAAGTTAACATTAAGATTGAGAAAGAACTTTTGTGTGGTTCGTTTGTAGAAATTCGATGGCCATCAAATAGAAACAGTGGAGGAATATAAAGGGACGTTATTGAAATGTAAAATTAATTAAAAAGGAATTTGAAATAAATTAATTATATCAGACGACACTTAATGTCGCAAACTAAATTTGTAAATTGTTAAATTTATCAGGAACAGTAGTGACAATCATTTCCTACCGATAATTAAATTTTTCACCGCCTGAATACTCATATAAACGGTATTTTTAGGCCCACAAAGACAAGAGTAGTACCCACAGAAGCCTAAGTATACTGACATCCAGAGATTAAATAAAAACCAGAGCTAGCTACTCCATTAAATAAGAAAATAGTGTGATTGTAAATATTATAAAAGGAATTAAGATTTACTTCAATGCCAGGCCTAATACGTGGAAGTATTACTCCTGTTATTGCAATATAGCTTTCCCTGGTTGTGTGAAACAAAATATATGAGATGTACAATATCTATACATTTGAAGAATTTTCCTTTTGAATACAAAGAATTTGATATTTACATTTCAGTGTAAATCATAGACTTAAATTCTTGAAGTCAGATGTGTTTGTTATGATGCATTCCTGACTGATAACAGTTTTAGTGTCTCAATAGTGATAATTTATTGATTAATCAGGTTTTTGCTTGAATTCTGCCATTGTGCCTTAAATTACCCAAAGTATTTTTTTATTAACGTGCTTGGTGTATTCAGTAGCTTTGCACTTTTAATTATTTAATTATTATTTTTCAATTGTTGGTAAAGTGAGTTGTGACAAGAGTGATGTTTGAGAGGAGGACATTTTAATCCTTAGTCAAAATTTGCTATTGGTCACAGATATCCTCCAAGTAAATGTGACCATGATATGCATCCTTCACAGAACAGGGAAGCATGGAGTTCAAAACAAATAGGTAATTAAAATATTTCTGCCCTCAAGGTAATATTTTATAACATTTGCCGTATCTATCAATGCTGACCTTGGTATGCTCCTTATCTATGACAGATCTCTTGCTGAAGAAATTTTGGGTAAAATGGGAGTTAATGCTGCAAAATTGTGTAAGACCATTAGAATCCTGATATTGAACAATGATCTTTTGAAAACTCTGATAGTAATTTTTGACACACATGAGATTGTTGTAAAGATTCTTAGAAATTGTTACTGCTTTAGAAGTACATATAGTTTTCATACTGATTTCTCTAAATTTCAGAAGAAGATATATAAGGAAATAAAAGAAGAGTTAACCAAACTCAAAAGCATTAATAGTTAACGTATTAAATATGACCCACTAGTTTCTGTCTTGAGCACAATTATGTCTGGCAATGTGAGGTTGGTAGCTTTCCAGGAATTCTGTTCGTGTCATTGTATGTTCAAAAATAGGAATATATAATTTTCTATTGTCATTGTATGTTGTCAAAATATTGCTTATTTGCCTATTGTCAAAATTTCCTGTTGTCATTGTATGTTCAAAATAGGAATAATATAGATTTCCAGGAATTCTGTTCATGTCGTTGTATGGTCAAATTGTTTAGTTTGAGTTTAGTGGCTTTGGCTTCTAGAGAAAGTCCTGGGTTTATTTTTTTCAAACTCTCTGCATTTGTCTTTCTGTCTTCTCATTTTAGGTTCAATATTTTCCTTCATGTCCACATTACATAAGCATGTAACTTCCTTTTTTTGCCTTAATGTCCAGCTTTCACACCCGTACAACATGGTTGGAAATACCATTTTCTCAATTAGTTTTATTTTGATCTTAAGTGATATACCTGCATCTTTTACGAATTTGTGTAGTTTTCTTTCCGCTGCTTTTCTTTAAATTTTCTTCTCATTAGTTCTTCTGTAAAGTATCCAGAGTTTGTTATTGTAATTTCTAAGTATTTAACTCTGTCTGCCATGCATAGCACTTCTCTGTTGATGTTCAGGCTTCTTTTTTTACCAGCTGACATAAATGTTGTTTTCTGTACATTTAGTTTTAGTCCTGTTCTCTCCTGCTACTTTAATTACTAATCTCCAAGATGTTACCTGTTATCAGTAATGAACGAGGTATCATTAGCATGTCTTAAGTTGTTGATTTCTCTAATTCTGATACTTATGTCCATTTCCCCTATGTTTGCAATTCTCATAATTCTTATTCTGTATATATTAGGTTTTCTCTTGTTCTGTATATAGTAGGTTGAACAATCGTGGTGACAGCATGCATCCTAGACTCACTCCTCTGTTGACTTGGAAGCAGTTTATTTCCCCTTCGCTTGTTTCTATTTTTGCTCTTGATTCGTGTATAATGACTTGATAAGTACAGTGTGTATTGGCACTCCTATCTTTTGTAGCGTTAGCCTCATTAATTCATGATCAACGTAGTCAAACACCTTTGAGTAGTCCAAGTAGTCCAGAAAGCATATGTATATAAGCTCTTTCAATAAATACCCAGACCCTTGCCATCTAGTTTCACTTAGACCCAAAATATTTATTTTCATTTGATCCATTTCTTTTATTATTATATTAATTTTTCTGACTTATAGACTTTGTACATTCAATGTGCCCCATTCCCATATTGTTTTTATTATTATTATTATTATTATTATTATTATTTTTGCGAGAGGAAAAAATGCGTTCCACACCGTCAGGGATTCAGGTGGTATAATCCCCGGTGTGTGGGACTCTAGTGTATACCCACTAAAAAAACCTCTCTGCATGGGCATAAGCCCATGCGCCTCTTCACGGGATCGTCGCGAGACATTACTTCATGGAGAGGCAGGCAGGTAGCTGAGCTTTTACTTCAGGTTAAGAACGAAGCCGTTCTTCATTTCTTCTCATGACTGATGTCAGATATTCCTGTACTGTACTCCACTACTTCTCTGATTTTAACATACACTGCAACAAGTTTAATGGAGAGATGTCCACTTTCAGGTCTTCATTCAGCTTTCTTCTCCATGTTTCCCAAGCTGCGCATGCAAATACTGTATGCAGTGCATCATCTTCACACTCACAAAATGAACATTGTGGGTCTGATGCTCTTTTAAATCTAAACAAGTAAGACTTAAAACAGCTGTGACCAGAGAGAACCTGTGTGAGGTAATAATTTACCTCGCCGTGACTTCTATTGAACCACGGTTCTATATTCGGTATGAATTAGTGAGTCCATCTTCCTTTAGTGTCACCATCTCACTTCAACTGCCATTCTGACAAGAGAGACGTCCGTGCCCTCTTCTTGATGTCATCTTTTATTCTGCACGGAGGTCCTGCGTGTACCAAGACGGAGGGACTCTTCACCTCGTCGTACACAGTTTCCCTTTCTCTTGCCAGCAGATAAATGGGGGGTACTCTAGCCAGAAGTCCCACGGCGCTACCTGTGACCGTGCAGTATGCTGACACTATTCTCTGCCCTAATCTCCGTTGCACTTGTGCGTACTTCCGTCCCACACTTGCTTTCCCTACTCTGTCAGCCACCACCGGAGCCGCATAAAGCATTTGTTAGTGAGCTATGCTGGCCAATCATACATCCCTTGCCATTCTTTTGGTCCTCCTACATTTGGTATAATTCTGGAAAGGTGGGCTCCAGTCGCTGCTACTTTATCTGCCATTTTGCTGATATTGGGCCCGAAACTCAGCCTATGGTCTATTTCGACCCCCAGGTATGTAATTTGGCGTTTCCAGGGGATGTTTACTCCGTCCAAGGTGATGCTGGGGAGTTGGATAGCTCTTCTGTCCGTTACTAGTACTGCCTCCGTCTTTTCAGCTGCCATTTGCAGGCCTCTTTGTGTTATCCATCTTTTAACCCAGAAGAGAGACTCGTGTATGTGCATGTCTAGCAGTTCTGCGTTTTCACTGTGGCTAGTAATCAGCGTGTCGTCTGCATATCCAATCAGCTGGGTATGTTGTGACAGTGTGACGTCATGGATACTCACAGCGAACACAGACACAGAGCTTTCATATAACAAATATATTTATTAACAAAGAAAACACAACAAATATTTACAATTAATTTCCTTCTTTCATCCTAGCTCTGATAGACCTACTATCCCCTGATCGCGGGAGCGATCCAAACCCGATTGATGATCGGTTTCGATTGTGGCATTCGCCACTCCTACTTCTGAAGCGCGCACAAAGCCTAGCTTCCGTGACCGGATGTCACACTAGGACACAAAGTCTTTATTGGCGTACCAACTGATGGTTTGCCTCGGTCGCAGGAGCGATCTTATCCGATTGAAAATCTACTCCTCACCTCGGAGCACGCACACAGCATCGCTCCCCCGTGACCGCAGCCACCCAAGGACACAAAGTCCTCCGCAGGCTCGCCAACTCGTGACTTGCCTCGCGAGCCTGGCCCGCATATGCACCGTCGTGGCGCCACGTTTTGTGCACATGCACGAGGTTCTCCCACTGTGTCCAGAATCCACCCACTGGCTCTGTACAGTCCGTTAATAGTAGAGGCCCACGTGACCTACTACTTCACGCCACCCCCTCCGCTGTTATAATGCTAACAATTAAGAAGGGTTTGTGTCTCCATTTCTTAAGACCGGAAGACCCCAAAGCCTTCTGTCTCGCGTTTCCGCGTTCTTGCTTTACGGAAAAACCCTTCTCTCCTTCCTGTGGCGAGGAGTTTCCTCTTACTAATCCTCTGCCAAGCGTCCCAAAATAGATGCCACGAGGCACGCTGGCTAATACGTTACAATAGGTTGTCATACATGACGTTCCATGAGAATGGGCCTAGCTTGGAACCTTGTGGTTCTCCAAATGTCATTTCTTCCTCCAGCCTGAAGGCATCCTCGTACGTAATCTTCCTTTCGGATAAGTAATTCTCTATTATTCTGAGGAGGTATTCTGGGTCCCGCTTTTGCGACCAGGGCCATAACAACATCGCTCCATCTAACGGAGGTGAACGCATTCCTAACGTCTATAGTCACCAGTGCGCATAATCCCCTTTTCCTGTTCGTTCCTCTTTTATCAGCTTCAGCTATACAAATCACTTCCAGAATAGCATCTGTGATCGAGCGGCCTTTTCTGAAACCAAATTGTCTGTCAGAGAAGATCGTTCCTGCTGTTAAATATTTCTCTAATCTTTGCAAAATCAAGCCTTCTAGTAGTTTGCCCATAGTGTCTAATAGGCACAATGGCCTGAAAGATGATGTCTGTGGGCTTGTTTCCTTTTCTTAATAGGATTAATTTCTGTAGCGAGTCTCCTGGCTTGAATGCACTTCTTTGGTAGCTCTGCAATCTCTGCGGACCACCAATACACCTATTGCCTTCTCTCTGGACCTCTGCGTCTAGTCGTAGAAGCTAAACACACAACCTTCACTATATCCCTCACTTTTACTGCTGCCTCTGGTGTGTACGACTTCTCCACCCATCCTATGTTATGCACTAGCCTTGATTCTTCTAGGGGCATTTTGGCCTCCGTTTCTACCAGCTTGTTTGTTTTCCCGGGTAGTCGTCCGCTGCGCTTTTGGTGCTCCCATTTTTAACCACCCATGCCATTGGAGGATGAGAACTGAATGTAGCTGTGATCACTAAGTCTCAACGTTCAGTACTTTCCAGTCCTTTACTCTCTTAACAATCCCATTTGAGCTTAGTGTCAGATCCAGAATGGATGCCCTTTCTCCCCTCTGGAACGTGTCCACGTTTCCCGTGTTTAGTATGACTAGATCACATCTTGCTATAAACTCGCAAACAATGTCCCCTTTTTAGTCAGATCCTCCATCCCCCCCCCCATTCTGGAGATTTGCTACAAAAGTCGCCCACTACTATCACTTCTCCCTTTGGAGATTTTATGCTCCTCTCTAGTTCTATTTCCTTTTTAAATTTATCAATTGGTCATTTGGAGAGAAATTGCAGCTGTATACCCGTAGGTCATGCAATTTTACCCATAAGAACCCATGCTTTGATGCTTTAAATTTGGATACGGCAGTTTTATTACTAAGTATTACTACCGACGCTCTTCTAGAGTCATCTTTTGAAGCCATGTGTGTTTGTCGGTTGTTCGCTAACAATCAAGAAGTCCACGTTTCTTTCAGTTGCAACTTGTACAAGTAGATTTTCGCGATTTTGCTCCTTCCTAGGTTAACTTGTAGGAACCTTATTTTGTCGTTTACTTTGTTGATTTCGGCGTTATATGAGGAGCATTTCTGCTTCCTAGCAAGGGGCCATCATTTAGATTTTTATCCTTACAGATGACACATTTGGGTGTCCTGCTGCAGTCTTTTATCTGATGCCCTGTTTCTCCGTACTTGTAGCATGTATTTCCACGGCCAGGACCCGGGCAGTTGGTGGATATATGTCCAAATTCTAGGCATTTGAAGTATCTTGTTACTTGTTGCTTCTCGCGCATCTGGCAGTTGACCCATCCTATCTCTATTTTACTCTTTTCATTCTTCAGAAGTTGTGAGGCTAGATCTGTAGGTAACAAGACGGTTTGCGTGCGGTTTGTGTGCTTGCAAACCCCATATATATTCTGCACGAGATGCCTATTTGTTCGGTCGGTGTGTCTAGGACTCTCCCGATTGCAAATACTACGCCATTTGCTGAAACAGTCTCGTCAATATCTCTAATTTCTACTAGGGTTTTTGGTGTGAGTGTTGTAACTATAACACTCTCCCCGACTGCCTTTACCAGTGCATTGTTAAATGATGACGTGTTCCCTTCTTTGCCAAGGACAATTAGTATATCCTATTTCTGAGTTCTTATTTTCTTAACGATTGTGTTGTGGTCTTTTGGATCGACTGCTCTTTTCATCTTTGTGAGGATATCAGCATATGTCTGTCCCTCTTTGGCAATTATTTTGAAGGCCTGGTTCAGGGTTCTATTTCTTGGCCTGTTTTGTTCGGCTTTCACTTTCTCTTTTGTTTTTCTTCTCTATCCTCTTCTTGTGCTCCGGTGTTGCAGCCATCCTCCATCGTATCACTCCGCCCCCACTTCCTAGTGTTCTGTGGCGTCATAGGTGACATCTGTTGACTCTGCCACAGCCTGTTTTTCTTTCTTCCCTCTTCTAACGTCGTCTTCTGGTGGGCTGGGTGCCTCTCTCTTTTTCCTTTAAGTCCGTAGTGGGTACTTTCTTTTTTCTATGCTATTGACCTCTTCCCGTTTTACAAGGGATTGCATAGTCTTTAGGAACTCTTTATCTTCACTTCTAGGGCATTTTGCCATCTGTATCTTAACTCTTCAATGTTAGCCCGGGCTTAAGCTTCCTTAACGCTTACCGGGTTATTTTTTAGCATATACGCCTCCATTGTTGAAGTTTTCGTTTAGGCTATCAGTGATTGTTATCTTCTGTTCGTCCAGTTGTTGTATGGTCTTCCATTTATTCATCAAAACACTCGTTGAAGTCATTTCTTCTGCGGTTCATTTCCTGTCTCAAGCCCTAGTCTCTCCCTCGCCGCGCCATCTCGTTCCGCAGTCGTGCTTGGATTTCGCTCCCGCTGGTCGGTTGTTATCACTGGAGTGGTTGGGGTACTTGGAGGTGTTCTCTGCACTTTCGTCTTCCCAGAAAAGGGGTTAAAACCTGCACGCTCTAAGCTTCGGCTTGTCACAGTGTAGAATTTCAGAGACGCCAAGCGGTCCACGCCTCTGAGATTGCAGTCGCTAGTTGACGAGCGCCGGGGGCCTGCTTGCCCACCCCCGGCTGCCGGTACTGGGGCTTCGATCCCCTGCACCGTAATGGTTGTTCCTAAGGGACCTTCCATCGCGGGTTTCTTTTCGGGGTGACCTTCCCCAAGCGTTTTTGAGCTACCGTCAGCTAACAGGAAACGGAAGAAGAGAGGGGGGACAGTAAAGAATAGAATTATAATAGTAGAGTAGAACGGAAATGACTCCCTAGCCCTCGTAACCTAATAGCGTCGGGGTTGGAAACAAAAGAGTTGGCCGATACGAAGATTGGCCAAACTATCTAAAGAAAGAAAAAAATAATTTGCAGCAAATAATGTGAATCTTAAAAATACTAGGTACAGAGTTGATTATATAAAAAGTTTGTAATTATTAAACATACCTTCTTTACATGCGACAATGACTTTATGTTTAAATTTTTAACTGATTTGATTAATAGCTTGGCATTGAGAAACATATTTGCTGACCAGGTCCATCCCTGTAATGTTAAAGGTTCCTTAGAGAATTCAGTTGTGTTTTACATTACTTTGCAATTTCCAAACTGGTAAGATCAGTTAATAGAAATGTAACTGATGATGATTTGGAAAAAAATTAACAATGTTTTAATTTACAGTGTTAAAATTGTCAAGCAGCTACTTCAAAAATTCCATTAATTTATTTTTCTGTAGTTTGATCTGTAGTACTTCAGAAGACACTTCAATACTCTATTAGTGTATTGTTTGAATTTAAAAAATTGAATTTTTTAATCTCTGTTCTAGATATGGTCATCATTCTATTTCTCATGTCATTCTGTCTCAATTGAAAGAGCAAGTTTCTTCTGAACATCTTCACTTTTGGTTGGTTTCACTGGAAGATTTGAGTAAAGGAGAAGCAGAATTATTGAACAATAGCTTACACAGATCAACATTAGTACATCGTCTTAATACAGCTGTTTCACACTATAGTAAGGCTGTGGCGGCTTTGAAGGTATTGCCTTTTAGGAACTACTAATGAGGTTTATGGAATACAATAAGTAATAGATTCATAAAAATAATAATTTACCCATGATTGACCTTTGTTCTTTATTCTGCTCTATATCATCAATATTTACCTGTTCTAAATTGTTCATAGGCCGCTAGTACTCCTGCACAAACTCTCCAGTTTCAGTCTGAATACACTCGTTTACGCGGAGAATTCTTGCAGTGTTTAGCTCAGCTTGTCCACACTTGTCACAGTTTGTGCACAGCTCCTCCACCTGCTGTTGCTCAATCTCTAGCAGAGAGCTCCAGGGATCAGTTACAACGATATGGACATATTGCAAATCAAGTAAGTATTTGTCAATTGATGCTACTGCTGTGTCTCTGTTCGGGAGGCCCTAGGATTTGAGACTTGATGGTAGCCCGATTTTCGACACTTGCTACACAGCTAGGTCGAATTCAGCTGCTTTCTGGAGAAGAATTCTACCAACTAGCTTCTCTGATCTTAGCAGTTGTTGAGCTCAGATTCGTTAATCAATCAAGTATTTGATATGTGGCGAGAGCTGTGTTAAGTAACACATGAGGCTATGCTCCAAAAATTTTTAGAGCTGACAAATTTTTTTAAAATTGAAATTTAATTTAACGAAACTGCTTCAGAGTTATATCAATATTAATACAAACATTTTGAGATGTATTATTGGATTCCTAAGTTTCATTTGTGTTTCCCTTGTCTGTTAGTAGTAAACTTATTAAGTTGACATTTTATTAACTCTCAATTATTCAATATTATTTTTTATGAAAACAACTAGGGTCATTATAGTTTGGTCATAATCTGTTTTTATGTCATTACCTTTTTAGATTTTAAAAAGATGTTTAAATAATGAAGTTTGTTACCTAGAGTTCTTTTGGAATTTAAAAAAGACACAAAAAATAATGTGGATACATTTTCCAAATAAGGAACTTATTTTCAACAAGGCACTGAGCTCTAAAAAGCCTTTTGCTTTGGATGAATTTGTGCAATTTTTTATTTGTTGCTAGTGTTGGGGATATTTTAATTAAGTCCTACTTATGTATGAACAGAACCTTTATTTTTTTCTCCTTCCTCAGCCTTTCCTCCGTTTTCTCCTTCTGTTCCTTTCTTCACATCTTTCTCTTTTCCTTCTCCCTCGTCTCATTCTTCATTCTCCTTTTGCTTCTCCCCCTGTTCCTCCTCCTCTTCCTTTTCCAACTCCTTCTCTTCCTTTTTTTCCTATTTCATTTTCATCTTTTTCCTCTTCCTTTTTCTTTCTCTTCTTCTTTTTTAAAAATATACTATCTCGTATTACTCTATACTATAATTACTGGTATAATTATTCTATACTACTTTTCAGCTTTTTTTCCTCAAAACATTTTCAAAGTGGTAAATTTTTCATTAGTCTTCACTCTACGTTGTAATCTGCCATGATGTGGATTGCTAGGCCAATAAAACAGATATTCTCTTAAAACATATTTAATGAACAATTGAGATGATTATGAAGATGAATATCAGCATGCACATGAATGATAGGTTACCTAGAATTTACATTAGTTTTCTTAGGGGCTAAATAGACAGGTTCTATTCCTGCCAGGAAAAAATGACATGGAAACTACACTTTTTCATTGATAGTCTCGCCCGCGTTCTTGGCGGGGGAAAGGACGAGCAATGACCAAGGACCAGCAAACTCTGGGCGGCCGCACTCGACGTGGAAGGTATTTGTGCCAAGCGAGGGTAGCTGTCAGCTAATCCTCGCCGGCCGACCGCGTCGGTTCCCCGGCGTTTCCAGGCACTTCAGTCCTCCCGCCGACGGACAGACAACTCGACGAAACATGCACCTAGGCACCGTCTTGTCGCGCCGTGGCGATGAACCGCCCTTGGTGGCGACGGTGTTCCGCACACATTATCAGCGAAGACTATGCGGTGATCAAAGCCTACCGTGACTATCATGTAAGGCACTCACGAATGTAGTGATAATTGAGAGGCCCTCAAAGCACAGGAAATAATACCTTCCTCAAGGCTCACTCGATGCCCAGATCATTTTCGAAGTTTGAGTAAATTCGTCATCTGAGCCTTCACGTAAATGTCCGAACTCGAAGCACTTCGGTCATTAATCTGTACACTCGAGGCGCTTTCCTAGTGAGTCTCGAATTCGATCACATCTACTCTATCTCTGTCTCATCTCAGCCCTATCTCGATCACTTCTGCCTCTGTTTGACTTAGCAGCCCTGTCCTTCGAATAACAAAAGCTCGAAACTCTCTCCTTCCGCAAGCTTCCCAGTTTCTGATTGCTCAGCATTCGGAGAGCATTGGCGGAGAGCGTTGCTTTCAAACAAATGACGTTCAAAATGTTTACATAAAAAATTTGCTGTTGGGATTTCGGCAGCAACACTCGAACCCTCGCGCCTGAAGGGTGCGTCCTTTCTTCCGATCAAAGGAGTGCGACATAGAAACCGTCCGGGTTGTTTTCAGTTACTTGCGAAGTTCGCGGCGGCATTTGCATCTCAATTTTTTCAAGGGCGCGGTTGGCTGCATGCGGTGTCTTTTGAAATCTTTCCTTTTGGGTGAAGGTGACGTTTTGACGAGGGCTGGTGTGCAGAAACCACCTTAGTTTCCCGTGAGTGCGGGCTGTCTTGCATCGGGCCGAGTTCCTCCCTCCTTTTCGCAGTCAAACCCGCCCACACTTGAACAAAATACACGCCGCTGCGGTCGGCTTCCTTGTTCTGTGCCGCGGATCCCCGATGGCCCTAACGGTTCAATTTGCCAGTCTTGGAGCATCGCGAAATCAACACGTCTTCGTTCTCAGAGCTGGCGTATCGCGCGCGTGTGTGTATATTCTAACGCCAATAACTCGTCTATCGCAGACTGAATGCGCAGTTCGAGCTTTGAAATCTCAGGGGGCAGGATCTTTGGGGTATGAGAAAGTTTTACTCCAAGACACAGAATTAGGTAAATCAGTGCGTATATTCTTTCTAGAATATTACCACAAACACTAAGCACTGAATAAATATAAAGAACAAATGGCAAATAACACTTACAAATAGTATACAAAATTGAATTACCCTTCTTAACACTGAAAAATGTAAACACTTCAACATTAAACTGAATATTTCCTCCTAATTAAATTCCCTTTCAAATGCCCGTGCACGGTAATTACTGCTTGGCCAGCACCGTTTGAAAAGACACAAAATGTTAATTTTACTTTTTTAATTATTACAATATATAGTGAAATTAACACTATTTTAACACTATTCCTTTGGCTCAAAAGACTAACAACAAATTAACAAAATTACTTATAATGACCAAAATGACTATACCATTATTTTCAATTAATTCCCTTGGAATATTACACGTAAATGAAAATATATTACATTGGCTTACAAGGTTTCTCCTTTTCCCAGTTTCTGTCGTGATATAATCCGTAACAAAATCTATGTGATTATGCAAATTTTGAATTCAGTCCTTTTGCCGCTGCGCTAGCTTGCTTGCGGTTCTGCCTGCTCTAGGCATCCGTGTCAGAATTTGTTACCTTTGCAACGGCGCCAACCTTGATTCTTCGACGCGCCTGACCTCGCTCCAATTTCGGCCGCACCATCGCTCCTCTTCCGTCCAGATGTCCATGAAGACGCACGAACATCGTTTTCTTGTGATAATTAATGTCCTGTTCTCGCGACGAATAATATTCTTCCTAACTCTTCTACAATTTCCCCAGTTCAATTGACTGTCGAACTAGTGTTTAATACTACTTAACTTTGCCGCCCTACAGCTCACTTCTACTCACTCCTGCTATCTGAATAACACTATCAAGACAAGATGTCGACTATCACCTATCGGCCTCGCTCTCCGCACACGACTGCTCTCCTTGGCGTCTCGTACAAGAAGAGGCTGGAGTGGTCAGCTGCCCCGCTTCTTAAAGGGGTGGCGTGATGTCACGACGGACCGACCCCTCCTCGCTTGCCATGAATCGGAAGTCCGCCGCGGACGCGCCGCGGGCCACAGAAAACAGATCGCGCTGTTACTGACGCCAATTATTTGGCGCGCCTGTGTTACGGAAACCCGTCTTGGCTTCGCCGGATCATCATGGGTGTTGTGGGGTTCTGAGCTAGTACCTTCCCCCCCCCCTAGTAATTCCCAAAATCGTCTGTTGGGACCTCGCAGATATCGTGCTCTTGCGAGTTTGTTATACCTCAGGGCAGAGGGTGTTGAGAGCAAATCCAAAACATAAATCAGTTAAATAGGGTTTAATAATCTTAAAACTCCCTTTCCTTGCTTACAAAATAACACCAAAATAAAAATGATACACAATAGCACAAAAATTGAAACCCTTTCTCAATTAAATAAGAATTAATTGTTAACTATTCCCACAAATGATCACTAGGAATTCCGTTTGTTACTCTTACCAATTAAATATGACATAATTCTTATTTACATTAACCAATGACATAATATTCAATTTAACACTATTCAAATACCTGTATCACAAAACAAAACACCACACTCTCTACAATAATTTCGCTGTGGCCGCGAAGAATATAAATTAATATTGATCTATTTACAGTTTCGTAAGAAATAGTGCTTTTATAATGGCAAGAATCTGAATAATACCCTTATGCCTCCTGTATGTAATGCTGCGCGAAAAAAAGGCGAATTTTCGGCAGGAAAAACTCCTATTACAGGGCCCAGGTAACGAAAAAGTAGATAAATCCAGTTGCTAAATTTCGAAGGAAAAAAACCTCTAACACATGGTGTAGCCAGAATCCAATTTCCGTTTGTGGTTTCAATCTGTTCTTGATACCGAAAAATCGAATGACAACAAAACGTCGGTTTGTCCGTCTGACCGACCGTCTGTGATCAACACTAGCGACTAAACCGTTCACTCGATTTTCTTCAAAATTAGTATTCCCGAATCGATCTGGCTGATGTCGAAGCCGCGTGAATTTGAAACCGATATTTAATTTTGGGGGTACTGTTCATGAAGACCTTGGGACATTTTTCAAAATAATTCTCCATTGTTTTTGATTAAATTTTGTTGTTGGATAGTGTGAAGAACGTTAAAGAGGTCTCCTTTTGGTTGAAAACTCGGATTTTTGAAAATTGCAAAAATCAACATTTTTTCGGCCTCTTCCTGCTACTACAATTACGAAAATATAAGATTTTTTCTCTTAATAAAATCTTTTTCTTAAAGACAGATTTTGAAATAAGGCCATGTAGAATTTTTTGAAAATTTGAGTACCTTTCGCGTAATTTTGCGTGAAAGTACGCACGAGAAAGTATGTGCTGCACCACAAGTTTTTCAGCGTCTTCCTAAAACTGCAATATTGAAGATAGCAATTATTTTCTTCAAACGAAATCAGTTCTTCACTTAATGTCATGAACACTTTTTTTAATATTTACTTTTTCTTAAAGTCTGTGCAGGTTCTTTGGTTTAGCATCAAAGTTGTTTTATAAAAGGTAATGTAAATTTTGTCTACAACAGTATAAAATAATGAAGTGAAAAAGATTACTTGGGGATTAAGGAATAAAGTTTGACTCTCCACTCCACGCCACCCTACTCCACTCCACTCCACTCCACGCCACTCTACTCCACTCCACTCCATGCCACGCCACTCTACTCCACTCCACTCCACTCCACTCCACTCCACTCCACTCCACTCTAAATTAGCGTTTGTAATAATGAGTTCCAATTCTTTCTTTTTGTTTGATTTCAGTTAAGAAAGTGTGTAAAGGAGTTCCGAGCTTGCGCAGACATGTACTGGAAATTATATCAATCTGCATTTGATGCTGATCCTGCATCATTAACAAATATTCAGCTGTATCCTTCCATGTACTTGTATCTTAACATGTGCATGTGTGTGTGTATGTATGTATGTGTGCGTGTCTATACATGCCTCTGCAAGCATGTGGGCATGGGTGTACATGTGCGTGCTAAAAACTGTTTCTATTAACCAGATCAGAAAATTATAAATTTCCACAAATTTTCTAACTTGCCCACACATCAAATTTACATGCAAAGATCTTTTAAATTTAATAGTGTTTTATTTAGTGTGTTGCGGAGAAATGCTGGTCAAAATAATCTGTTGTGAATGGAAGGACATTCTAATTAACATATTAAACAGGTAAAATTCAGATAAGTCTTGTGGATTCTTTTTTTTGATATTTGGGGATTGTGAAGAGAAGAAAAAAATATAAGTTCAATATTGCTTTGACTGCAGAGTTGCTGCTTTAGAAGTAAACTAAATGTAAATCAGATTTTGAAATTTTATTTAATTGTAAAGATTGATGTGAAATGCATATATTGTTCACTAAACTATAGATTTATGCATGTGGAATTTTTTTTCACGTATCAACATTTTCGTAATTATCTCATTTTCTAATTATGGGAGCCTCTTTCACTTTAAGTAACAATTTTTAACTTTCATCGCAGGTTTATTGGTTACAAAATTCAATCTATTTAATGGTTTTAAAGAATTGGTAGTTTCTTTCCAACAATGCATTTTGTAGATTTTGAGATAATTTTCTCAGTGTTTTTTGATAATATATTTTCGATGTAGCACACCATATAAAAAAATTTGTTAAGTTCTATAGCTGTAAAGTACTTTTTAACTCACAATACTCAATAGTTTTGCACTAGCTTAAATGAAAAAAAAAAAAAAAAAAAAAAAAAAAAAAAAAAAAAAAAAAAAAAAAAAAAAAAAAAAAAAGAGAATGTTTTTGGGCCCTTAAACTATCATATTTACCTGAACATAGGTCAACTCATTGATTTTGAAGAGGTCTCCTGAGATATTTTTTATTTTGAACCAATTCTTACTATTTAGACAAATAAAATTTATAATTGCCTAATTGACTAGAAAATTGTCTTTTGCCTGTCATGACACTTTTTTGTTATTCCTCACAAATCACCCCAATTATCCTCATTTGTGTCACTTCCATTCTTATCTTACATACATCATTGTTTCTTCCTTTCTGGTCTTCCTCTCATACAAAGTTGTCCTCTAATATTTTAGGTCTGTTTTATTAACCCACAGTAAATCAAGCCTAGTGTTTCTCAGCATATAGGAGCAATGTAGTTAATGTTAAATTGTTGAATTATAATAATTTAGCTACCCCAAATTTATTTACATTAATTCCTTGACCCGCACTAGCCTACAACAAATGTGTTTACTAATGGCTCAAAGTATAGAACGTGTTGTTCAAGCTGGTTACCAGGAGGCGGCCATTCTAGATTTCAGGTATGTTTTCATTTTTGTGTATGCATTTTGCTTTCAATTCTTTGCATTGCAGCTTAAGTTTACAACATTGTAATTCATTAAATAGTACCTTATTTACGATCACTGGATGTTTTTATATCACAATCATCTAGTAACACATTCAGGTCGTATCTTCTGTCCACCTTTCTGCCACCACATTCGTAAGGTTTTTGGATATAACTTTTAACTTCTTCTTCTATTTCTACTTCTTCTCCATCTTCTTCTTCTTCTACTGCTCCTTTTTCTTCTCCTCCTCCTCCTCCTCCTTCTTCTCCTCCTCCTCCTTCTACTTCTTCTCTTTCTATTTCTTCTTCTTCTCCTCCTCCTTCTTCTATTTCTTCTTTTTCTTCTCCTCCTCCTTCTTCTATTTCTTCTTCTTCTTCTTCTCCTCCTCCTCCTTCTTCTTCTTCTTCTTCTATTTCTTCTACTTTTTCTTCTTCTCCTCCTTCTTCTTCTACTTCTTCTTTTTCTATTTCTTCTACTCCTCCTTCTTCTCCTTCTTCTCCTCCTCCTCCTCCTCCTCCTCCTTCTTCTTCTAAAAAATTATTTTGTATGTTATATTCAGAAAGGTAATGCTTCTATAATTATCACATCGTTTTGTGTCTCCTTTTTTGTAAATTGGACATATAATTCCTTCTAACCATTCGTCAGGTATTTGCTCATATATCCATTTTTTCTTTTTTAATCTGATTATGAATTCACTCTATTAATATGTTCCCTCCAACTTTTAGCAGTTCAGCTGAGGTATTATCTGAAACTGAAGTTTTATCTCTTTTCATTTTCTTCATTACTTCTGTTGCTTCTTTCTGTATGGGCATATATTGGTCTATATCTCGCTCTTCAATTTGTTCTGCATTTTCCTGATTAGGTTCAATAGAACCTACTTGTTTATTAAAAAGGTTTTCATAATTCTAGTTGTAGGAAATAATGAAAAAATGTTGAATTTTTTCAATTGCCAAAAAATCAGGTTTTCAACTAACATTTTTCTGCACCATTTTCTTGAACGTCCTTCACACTATCCACTAAAAAAATCATCGAAAACAATGAAGCCATTTAAAAAAAAAGTTTAAACAGAAATTGAAAATCGCCAATATTTCACGTAAAGTTACGCGAAAAATACTCAAATTTTCGAAAAATTGTCCTTGACCTTATTTCAGAGTCTATCTTAAGGTACACATTTTATTATGGGAAAGAATGTTAGATAGCATAAAGGACGGTTAAGAGAATGGTGCAGGTCTCATGTTCGTTAATATCCATGATTTTTCGAAAATTTTAGAAAGCTAAATTTTGTTCGTCTACCTACAACTACAATTGTGGAGACATTCTTTTCTTACTGAAATCTCTTCATCCAAAACATTTGATTTGAAATAAGGTTATGTTGAAGTTTTCGAAAATATTAGTATTTTTTGCGAAATTTGGCATCAAAGAGTCGCTCGCTTCGTGAACATAATGAATGGTGATTTCAAGCACTTGGATGTTAGGTAAGTTAGAATTTGTATATGTTTTCTTTGTTCGTTACTTACAGGTCAATCCATCTTAAGTGATCCAGAATTTAACAAATTGGTCGTTCCACCATCTTGAAAAAGAAATTGACCAAAAATTTACTAATGTTTTGGCTGTTGAAAAACATCTTTGTTTTTTTATTGCTCCTGGTTTACATATATTCGCCATTTCTGTTTTAAGCCATGCAGCATTTTTCGCGTTTGTAGATTTATTATTTTCTAAATTACTCAGCTCTTGGTTGTTCTAGCATAAAAAGCATTGGATTCAATATACTCTGTCCTATTATTCGAAATATTATTTACGTTTGTTTTATTTGGAAAATAATTGCCATCAAACCTATGAAACACGAATTTCTATTTTCAGAGAGTAATCTCTCAAAAGAGGAATAGAATAACAGCCTTAATTTTTTTCTGTGCTTTTACACATCACAGTATAGTTACGTTTTGTGAAATATAATTGATAAATAACATACCACTTGAAAATTACATCTCAAAAATCCAAATGGAATTTTTGATTTTTTCCAAATTTTCAACTGCCATATCATAGCAACAAAAATAACTGAAATCAGTCTGATTAGGTTTCCTATCTTAAAAATACAATTGAAATTGATTTAATATAATTAATTATACTTTATTATTAATAAACATAAAGGTGGCATAATATAAATAATTTTCAATGTTACGAGTATTTTACTTTAAAACAAACGTAATACTTCACATCTATGTTTGTATTTGAAAATATGGTCATCTTAATGTTAAAAGCTGAATTGGCTAATATAAAAATACTTAGCATCTTTATATTTAATTATATTTATAAAAATATTTAGCATCTTGTTATTTTTTCGCGTTTAAATTTGCCATTATTATTTTTGCAGAGATACAGACAGCCGCCATTTGTAAACCAGGTACAATAAGAAAACTTGAACATCAAAAACATAAGGAAATTTATGTACAAAATATGAATTTTTTTCGTCCAGTGCTGGACCACTTAAAATTAAAATGTATTGACCCTTACATTCAGGCTTTTGTTGTGTGTGTACAAATTTCTTTTAGAAATGATTTAAAATCTATTTTATAATTCACATTTATTGTTCATGTTGCGGGGAATGTATTTGCATTTTCAGTGTATTGATGCATATTTCTTTCAAGCAATATGCAATCCTTAATTAAAATTAGTCCAATTAAGTTTTCTGTCTTAAATATACAATTTAAATGTAGTATGAAAGAAAAATTGTTAGCTTTTATGGAACACAGCAATGGCATTTCGCACTGCGAGAAGCTGAAGTTCCGTGAATTGTATGTCTCATTGTTGGGACATGATGTAGCTGTTTGAAAAGCAGTAACAACTGTCTAATTTGTGTTGATATTTGCTTGAAAGTATTTAATATTCACACCAAATGTTCTTCAATTTGTAATGGGTTTTACAAAAACATGAGGACAAAAATGTGTTAATTTGGAGAGAAATTGTGGTATAAATAGTATTACCTAAAAATTACTAATGGCAAGAAGTACATTCTATTTAGCACCACTAGTTATTGTTAGTCAGACTAATCTTTGCTACAGTTGTATGGTCCCAACACTTGAATGTCCATTGTACTAGAATGGAGTCAATTCAGACAAAATTTTCAGAATTCCACCAAGCATGACTTTATCTGCCCCATTTGTTGAACATGAGTACTGTTTGTTATATTGTGACAATTGAATTATTATAATGTGTTGATGATGTAATCTGTTCGTTCAACTGAAGTCAAATTGTTTCTTTTATGAGGAGCATATTTGATTAGATTATAATGTATTTAGTACTTATTGAAAATAGTTTATACATTACCTTTGATATTCTATTTACACATTATTCCTTTGCATTTTTGTACTTGTGAACTGCACATCTGTTTAAAATAAAGTAAATAAGTTAAAAAAAAGTCTATGTCAAGAAGATATGTGGATTGACTTTTGTAGCTTGATGGTTAATGATGAAGAGAAGGTGGTTTTCAATTGATCATTAATGCCATTCATAAACTTGCCCGTTATTTATTTTTTGACCAGTGTTTATTCAGTTCACATGACTTGTTTTATTTTCAGTTCTCAGCACTCAAGTTTAGAAACTCAGCATCTCATTAAATCTTGCCAGGAAGCTAGCACTGTTGCCCTTCAGTTAACAAGAACAGATGAAAAGACCATAACTCATCAGGTAAATGTTGCTTATTGCATTTTTGGAGATAATTGTGATAATTTATGAGGTCAGGCACATAATTGAATTTAAAATGACTGTGACATGTTTTTCAGCATATTGATTGCTTGCTGAGAGAAGTGGAAATTTTAGCAGAGTCTTCATTATGTGTTCCTCGATATTTCTTCCAAATCCTTCAGTCTACTAGTGTGAAGGTATTTTTTCATCTTGTGTTTTGTTTTTTTGTTTGGAAGTAATGGTAAATAACTCTTCAATGTGATATATATTCATTGTTTAGGAGAAAAAAGGGTATTTGTTTTGTGAAACTGAAGTTATTTTTAGGCTATGATAATGTTTCACTTAATAAATAATGCATAAGTTAAGCTCCACTTGTCTCTTAAACACATTGTAAGCTGATTAATTCATTTCAGTTGGCCATCTCTCCTCAACCTCGAGTTCTTGGTGAGGCTATTAGCGTGCAAAGTGGATCACAACTTGCTGTGAAAGTTGAAGGTGTTATACAGCATGGAAAACGACCAGGCCTGTTTCGTAAAGTAAATGGTGTTGTCATCACTGTCACATCTCAATTGCAGTCTCGGCAAACACACAACAACCATGACCCCAAGGCAAGTGAAATTTGCTTTTGAAATATATATTTTAAGTAGTAACCTGCAGCAGCAGAACTGCTGCTGAATAAAAACATACAAAATGGTTTTCCAAAAAGTAGTGTGACCGCAACTCAAGAATAACAAATAAAATACTCTTGTGTAACCCTAAAATAATTGAAATATTTTAACAAAAACAATATTTTTGAATACTACAATAACCTAGATTAATACATGTAGATGCAGAGTACATCATATCTTTACTTACTAGAAATATAAAAGTTACTGTTCCGTAACACAACACATGAATAGCAAATATTTAATCATACTTGGAGTCTTGGCGTTACATGACATCAGCTGTGTTGTTGAGTTTGAGAATTCAGTCACTAAGCATAGCGTGAGAGAAGTCAAAATAGCACAATCAAATATTCACATTTTTCAGTCAAAATTGAAAGTGTTTCATTGTTTTGGGAATTTATGTGAGTTTCTGGGAAGGGTTCTAATGAAGCCAAGCTCAAACATCCCTGAGGGTGCTTACTTTTCATTCAATTATTGTGTGTTCAGTCATCTGGATAAATGAAAGATCCAGATGACTAAAGTTATCAATAAATGATGTATTTACTGATTAATGAAACTAGCATGTTGAGACTGATTGGCAAAGGAAACAATTGATAAAAAAGTAAATCAAAATTGCAAAAACTTTGTTGGACTTGAGGGTCAGGACATTAGTTTGTTTTCGATGGAAGTGACAAAAATTGATTTGGAGTGTTGGAGGTGGCTTTCAAAAACAAAAAAAAAGATTTATAAAGTTCACACTGCAATTTATACCTCCACCTTGAAATCTTTAGTATATACAAGATGCTGAAAACACAGTTTTCATGAGTACATATCAACAACATTTATCTTAAAATATGAACTACATATATATATATAACATCACAACTCAATTTACATAAATTTCAACTTTACATTAACATTACAACATGACATTAAATGTACATCAGGTACTCTGCATGCCAAGTAATACCCCAAGCATTTTTATTAAAATGCAAGAGTGACAGACATTTGATACATGGTATAACATCTTTCAGTGCATAATTGGCATATGCTCTTTGTGTTTCATAATTCATTTCAACATACAATGATTTAGTAAAATTCTTACAATCATATGTAAATATAAAATTTTCAAATTCCTTTTTAAGGTGCACAAGCTTTTTCAGTGTGTACATTTAAAAATAATTACATACATTTATTATGTGCTTGAAATTTTTTTGTGATTTCTCGCTCTATCTGCTCTCTCTTTACAATAGCCCTTTATGCAAGATCAATTTGAAAATCAAATCTACTTAAATCAAATATGAAGCTTACCAAAGCCTTTTTAATTGTTAATTATTATCAAAATTTGACAATTTAGAAATTTTTTGAAAATATTTATCTGTTTATTTATTTTTCAGTAAATGAGTTTTCTAAAAAAAATGTTTTAATAATATGAACATGAAAGAAGGCAAGAATAAAGCTACTTTACATTTTGCTTTATCACATTTAAAAGGCACTTAATTAGACAAGAATATTTGTTAACTTTAATATTAGAATTATTATTATGCTGTTTTTCTGCATTAATTTTGATCGCTTGACAAGATTATATTTTGGATCTGTAGCTTACATCGGAAAAGTTTTTGGTTGCATATTCGTAAAAGTTCATTTTTTCACTTGTTCTCTGCCCTGCATGGTATGTTTCTCACAAGGACAATTGTTTTCTACTTTTCTTTTCAGAATGTCAATGATGTCGGATCAGTATTGACTCAGACAGTGCCACCACATCGAGATTTCTTTTCTGCCCAGTTCTTGTTAGCTTTTCCTACTGGTGGTCAATATTTAATTATAGTGGAAGCAGCAGTTGTTGATGAAAAGAGTAACACATGGCGAACTGGACCCAGAAACACACTAACTGTGAAATCACATGAAGAAACAAGTAAAGGTGTTTCAAACATTGTTCCTGGAAATGCAACAGGTAGTACTTCAGGAAGTGGGAGAACAACATATTCTGCTTCGTCACGATTCTGATTGGAAGCTTGCCATAATGGAAAGCAAATACTAAAGTGAAAGGTGAATATATGAAAGTACAAACAAAATACTTGAAAGGATGCCTGTCTCTTTAGCAGGCACAATTGTGCAGATGTATGGTGATAATATTTGTGCGAGCAAAGAATTAGAAACACTACAAGTGTTGATACAGAACAATATTGATTTTTCAATACTTTTCTGGCATTGATTGTGATTCTCAGGAGATTTAGAAGATGACAGTCATATTTTAGTTCCAAGTGAGTGAAATGTCATTGAACTGTATATAATTTTCTTATTACAATAATTATATGAGGCTAATATTTGACGTGATTTTGTAGTGTGTTCTCTTGTTCATATCTTGTGGAATCTATAGATAGTATACTATGATTCATTAGGCTACGCACACAAGGTATGGCTCATCCAGAAACTAAGCATCATTGGTGAGAAATGATATTGTAGCAGACTTTTCCTCAAAGTCTTACATAAGTAGTAAATTAGAACAAATTTTAAAAAATGTAACATGATGAGAATCACCACTCTAAATTCCTCGATTTTAATTAATTGTATTCCAAATTAACATTATGAAAATCCTTCTTTAAAACTGTCAATTACTACTTCTTTCATGTTCTGAAAACACATGAATTGTTAATTTGGATGACAATGAGTGATTTTATAAAATTAAAAAAAATCTAGAATAACTGTTGCAAGTTAGAAATTCAAAGGTTATAAGTTCACATTAACATTTGGCCTAGGGAGATAAGTCCTTGGGCTCTCATCCTAATATAAAAATAACTATTATGGAAGTGAAATAAATTTTCAAAAACAAACCAATATCACATGAGGTGGTACAAATTAACGTAGTTTTTTGTGCAACACATAACAAGTGTAAATTAGTTTAAAAAATACAAATAATGAATAATACATATACATCTCATTGTTACTTCCATGGACAAAAGTTGCATGAAACTACCCCCACAAATTCTTGATGTTTCATTTCAGTTATCCTTTATTCTGAGGATAATTGAAATGAAAAGATCGCAAATAATGCATTAGCATCAGAGTGTGTCGTAGGTATCCAACTTCTCTTTAATGTAATGGCTGTAGTAATAATTTATGCTCATTATACAAAGGCCTGTATTGTACATGAAACTGACTGAGACTTAACATATATGTTGAAAGCTACACGTTTCAAATGCACCATTGTTTTGACACACTTATTCAAATTATTCAAGTGCTGCTCTAACTTATATTTGTCCTCATTGAAGTCCATATTGCCCACATGGCTGAGGAATAGAACACCACTGAATTGTCATCCATGAAAAACTTTTCTAAACAAAGGTAAGGATTAAGTGCCTCACAATTTTTTTCAGAACATTTATATTGATAATGTGTGACAATTAGCAACTAAAAGTAGTCTAGCTTTCCCTAAACAATGGCTACTTTTGCATGCCTTGGAATATTTCATTGGTTTCTGGCAGCAAATATATTTTAATGGGCGAGGGGAAAGACAGTACTAGTTCAGAAAGTTCGTTCTGAAGTAATTTAAGTTATAACCTTTGATTAGATAAGACAAAAAACTGTTGAGCTTCTTACTCCAGAATGTTTTATCAAGTCTCATGAATATGTTCTGAGGAATAATTCCAATAAAAACCTTATTAATAAAGTGTTATAATTTAAACAAACTGTGGACTTGTACTGTTTTTCATCAGAACAAAGTTTTATTAAACAAATTTATAAAATAACAATCTACCATGAAAATACCACATTTTATTGTTGTATGAGTGCATTTAAGTAATATAACTTGGGGCCATCCAAATTTCAAGTAGAGCTCATATATTATTACCTTTTCCTTTTCAAGATATTTTTTGTGAACAGACTGTGTTTCAAAGTACAATTCATTTTGCATAAACTTCACAGAATCTCATGAGAAGTGCGCAATTTTGTTTGGAAAGGATTCTGTGTTCTTTTATCTAATACAATATTTTATTATATATTTAACTAGGTTTTCGTACATGAGGTCTTGTTCTTATGCTTTCCACTTTCCTCTTCCTCCTTTTAGTGATAGATCTGATAAAATAGTTCCTCACAGTCATTGTAGCTGAATATGTGATATTCCATTTAAGTTTGTGAATGCTTGTTTACAAACTTGACTGAACACATTCTTTCAATGTAAAATAACAAAAATACTCTTTGCTATTGTTCCCCTCACCTCTCACTCTTCAGTTCATTAGAAGCACACTGTCGATCAGTAATTAAACAAGTAAATTACATCAGCCCCATACTAGTGGAAAATACAAATGTGCCAGCAGCCCGAGTCATCAGGTGTCTGAAATTCTGAGTGGAAGAGCAGTAGACGTCCAGGACTGTTCTTTCATCCATCAAAGAGTAGGAACTGCCTGATTTCAAAATGACCTCATATTGAAATGTTTTCAGATTCAACATAGTTCCATGCTTTCTGCGCTAATTACAACAACCCAAAAACACACAAGCAATTTTGGACTAGTAGGTATTGTTTTTCCACTCACCCATTAATTTGTATTCCTGACATTTTTATCGTTAATTATTATTCTCAGTGACTGCAATGGACTGCATTGTTAAATAGAACAAAAGGGAGAACAATAATCAGCTAATGGTAAAATCCAAGTAATCCAAGTTCGATATTATATTCTACAATACCTATATCCATTAACCATACCACATGGAGGGCCATTCAGAACATCACAGTATTTGCTACCAGGAAAAGCAGAGGTGGTGTAGTAAACTCAAAAATCTCTACAAGATATCAGATACAAGAATATTCTGGGCACATTTCAAGGAACATGAACATTTAAAGTCTTATAGAGTAATTTGTGACCATTTGCTGCTGTTCAGGTGACCTCTCTTTACCTTCCTAATTCTCTATAAATCTATTATGGTTTCTTGAATGTTACTTAAACTTTTTTCTTAATGACAATTCTATTTGTTGTCATTTTTTGCTTAGTCCCTAAAAATTTGCTCAAACAAAAGATGACCCAAGTTTTTATAAGAAATTAGTTCCCAACAAATAAAATTAAAAAACATATCTATATTGTAATGTTACATGACCATATTATTTATATAGTCTACATGAATTTAAGAGGATAAAAACTGAGAAAAATAATCAACTTATATTCAGGTGAATATGGTATTAATGTTTAATATTAATTATATGTACTTTATACTCCAAGGATGGTGGTATTAAGGCATTATTAGTTCTACTCATAGCAAAAACGAAAAATGCAAACAAAAGGAGTAAAGATAAAAAAGAAGTAAGATACCCCAGACATAACGATTATTTCGGGTTTAAGATTATTTACCAAAAATAATGGGAGGTGGATCTCTTAGCTTGAGGAAGATTGGGATTTTGTTTTTGAGCGTCAAAGAAAGTTCCAAAAATAGTTAAGAATGTAAAACTGAGAACTGTCATTTTTATCTGCAAACAATTAATATTAATTATTTATCTTTTTCAATCCTTTTCTCTTCTCCCATGAATAAGCCTATTATCTTTGAAAGTCTCCACTTTTTCCTCCTGTTTTTTCCATCAAAAGAACTTCTGAAATAACTATGTCATGACTGACTGCTTTACACATATCATAAACAGTTAAAGCAGATATTGTAGCTGCTGTTAAAGCTTCCATTTCAACTCCAGTTTTTCCGTGACAATGTACTGTAGCTGTTATAATAACAGAATGTATGCCTTTGTCTAATCTAATATTCACATCAACTTTGGAGAGAGGAATGTTATGACACAATGGAATGAGTTCGCTGGTTTTCTTCGCACCCATAATTCCTGCTATCTGAGCAACTGTAAGTACATCTCCTTTCTTCAAACAATTTTTCTCAATGAGATCTGTTATTGTTTCTCCAACTTTAACAAAAGCTTGTGCTTTGGCTGTACGAAAAGAAATACGCTTTTCTGAAACATCTACCATAAGAGCTTTTCCCGTATTGTCAATGTGCGTTAGATGTTTTTCCTGACAAAAATTTCGATAGAAGTTAAAGCATGAGGTTTTTTGAGCATTCAAAGACATTGGCTGGTTTGAAAATGCTCTAGTGAAAGGTCTTGCATTCACTCTGGCCGTATAACAATGTGAAATCTCATGCATTATGTATGCGCTAGTATTTTTTTTTGGAAGACTTGATTCCCAATGGAAAAGATGATTCCTAGGAGGTAGCCTTATAAACGTGCTGAAGTATTGGAAGAAGTAACACCAATCTGAAAACATTATTTTAAAGTAATAATTAAGACTTGCAGCTGACAGGGGAGAGAAAGAGATAGAGATAGTAAGTATATTTCTTATCTGAAATGACTAATTTGCCTTATGAAAGCTGTGAAACAGTAACACCTATTTTAACATTAGTACATACTGTCTAGTCATCCACCAATAAGAATCATTGGTCTATTCTCCATTTGAGAAAGATTCATCATTCCTGAAACAGATTGAACTTACTTCTATGACCTACCACTTTCATATTTCCTATGATTATACAACTTTTTATTGGTAATTCAGAACAACCTGCAAAGAAAAACAAGAAACATGTCTACCAATACCTGCGTGCTGCTTCTTCTTTCTTTTCACGGCTGCTCCTATCATGGCCAATAGGTCGTCCTCACTGCATCTTTGACGAATGGCATCCCTAGTAGTGCACTCAAATTCAGTATATGTCATGTCAAACATTAGCATATGTTAACATGTAAAAATTACAAACCTAAGAGAAATTTCTGAATTTCCAAACAGGCATACTTTGAGGTTACCATCAGCAGTTATTCTTAAGCGGTTACAAGTACCACAAAAGTGATTACTCATTGAAGTAATAAATCCGACTTGACCTTTGAAACCAGGAACATGGTATGCCTATAAATAAGTACACTTTCAATTGAAGAATAGTAAGAACAGTGTGTGTATTATTTCTGAATCTTCATGAAATAAGAAAAAATGATTTTAATATACATTACGTTTAGAAAAATGTTCATAATTTTCATACTGCATTATTTTCTTGACAAAAACATTTCATAAAACTAACCTTTGATGTGTCATTTGGTCCATTTGGAAGGGCACAAATATGTGGATAACTTGATTTAATTATCTTTAGCATTTCATCAAAAGGAACCATTTTTTTATCATTCCATTTATTGCCTGTGAAAGGCATGTACTCAATAAACCGAATATCTAGATTTCTGTCCTTAGTTAGTTCAACAAAATCACATATTTCATCATCATTGAAGCCTCTCATAACTACACAATTCACCTGCCAAACAATAAATCAAAAGATCAGTAAATTCAATGGTTAATTATGCTGAAATAATTACTTAATAACATGTCATACTTCATAATAGTTTAATTAGAAATATGAGCTGGAATATTCAATAATATTTATGCCCAATGTGAAACGTTTGAGAATGGTAATCTATGTCAGTTTTTCTGAACATATACTTTATTTATGAAGGTTAGTTGAAAATTGATCTTAATTACATCAAGGTGTAAACGAGATTTTAAATCATTAATAAAGATAATGTAAATACTTATGTGCTTGGATGTTTATTTTAGATTGAATTGTCTAATGTGAACAGTTAATATGTGTCCCACATTTTCTTCTCATACATGTTTATAAAGGTAAGTGGATTTTGTTTTGTTTTGTTTTTTTTTTTTTTTTTTTTTTTTGTTTGTGTGTGTGCGTGTGTGTGAATACAAAAAAGTAAAAATGCAAAAATGCATGTTTGGTCTGTTTCTGAATAAAATAAGTATTAGCACAGTTGCAGTAAATAAGGCACAATTTCTTGTGATAAAATTTGTGTGGGGTGCACAAATGAAAGTGAAACATTATAAATATTGTACATGTTGATTCTACAACTGTGACAGATTGGATGATTTTTAGAGGGATGCGTTGGTACAATACATAAAACTACACAAAAAGCATAGATGTGAATAAAGGTATTTTCTTTTCCCTTTAGTAAAGATTTCTTAATTATTTTAGATAGAAAATGAATGAAGTAGTACTGGGGTTTTGG